TTTTTTTTTTTAAAAAAATCTGCAATTAGAATAGAATAGAATTCTTTATTGGCCAAGTGTGATTTGACACACAAGGAATTTGTCTTGATGTAAATACTCTCAGTATACATAAAAGAAAAGATACATTTGTCAAGAGTCCAGAATCATAAGATACAACACTTTCTTCCAGATCTTGAAAAGTTAGCTCTCTTTTCTCCCTTTCTCCTTTTCCAACTTTTTTAGAATAGAATAGAATAGAATAGAATAGAATAGAATAGAATAGAATAGAATAGAATAGAATAGAATAGAATAGAATTCTTTATTGGCTAAGTGTGATTGGACACACAAGGAATTTGTCTTGGTGCAAATACTCTCAGTATACATAAAAGAAAAAATACATTCATCAAGAGTCAAGAATCATCAGGCACAACACCTAATAATACTCATAGGGTACAAAAAGCAATCAAATCATACTAGGAAGCAGTCAATATAAATTGTAAGGATACAAGCAACAAAGTTACAGTCATACAAGTGAGAGGGGATGGGTGATAAGGAGTGATGAGAAGGTTAATAATACTAGTAGTGCAGACTTTAGAAATAGGGGTCTGTAGATATTTTCACAGCCCTCTTTTTGACTCGTGCAGTAGACAGGTCCTCTATGGAAGGCAGGTTGGTAGCCATTGTTTTTTCTGCAGTCCTAATTATCCTCTGAAGTCTGTGTCTGTCCTGTTGGGTTGCAGAACCAAACCAGACAGTTATATAAGAAAAAATTTTATTTTTAAAAACAAACATACACATACAAAACATGAAAACATAAAACCATCTTCCATTTTATATACATACAGTTGTGTCAGTTGGTTACATATCTTTTGTGCTGTCCTTTAGAAGTCATTTACTCACAATTTATATTAGTCTTCACATTATCGAACTATGCTTATATATTTATCAGTTGTTATTCATCCATGACTAAACTATTTATTTCATCATTGTATATGAGATGTCCCAAGTTTTATCTTACAATTTATCTTAAAATTTATACTTTCAACCAGTAGTTATATATATATCTATATTATGTTTTATATCAGTCTATTAAATTTCTATCACAAAATTATCTAGTCTATTACATTACCATGCCTTTTTATCCAACCATTGGTAATATAGCTCCCAATTGGGCAAGGCAAACCCTCCTCTTATTCTTAAATCTTGTAACAGTTTTAATTTTATTCTTGCTTTTTTACCCTGCCAAATATATTTCAACACAATTCTATTTAAATCTTCAAAAAACTCTTTTCCTATAGGAATTGTCTGGAATAAATGTAAAAGTCTAGGCAATATATTCATCTTAATTGTGGATATTCTCCCAATCAATGATCGTTGCAATTTTTCCCATTTCATCAAATCTGTCACAATCTGCTGTTTGAGTTTAATATAGTTATCTTCCTTCAGCATACTACATCTTGGTGTAATATGAATCCCTAAATATTTAACTTTGTTAGTGACCTGTATTTTTAAAATTTCTTCCAACTCTTTCTTTCATCTTGCTAACATATTCTTTGTTAATATCCTTGTTTTATCTTTGTTTATTCTCAAACCTGATACTTTTCCATATTCTTCTATTTTTTCTATTAATTTGGATGCTGTTTCCAATGAGTCTTCTAATATAAATACCAGGTCATCTGCAAAAGTTGACAATTTATACTCCTCCTTTTTAATTTTCATCCCTTTTATTTCTTTTTCTTCTCTGATATTCCTATTCAAGACTTCCAATGTTAACACAAACAGCAGTGGCGACAATGGACAGCCTTGCCTTGTCCCTTTTCTTATATCTATGGATTCTGTTAATTCTCCATTCACCATCACCTTTGCAGTAGGTTCATGGTATATTATTTCAATGGCTTTGATAAATTTCTTACCAAAGCCCATTTGTATCAATTGCAGTAAAATAAATCGCCAACTCACATTGTCAAAGGCTTTTTGAGCATCTAGAAACATCAAGGCCATTTGCTTCTCAGGGTGTGCTTCTAAATATTCCAGAGTATCCAAAATGATTCTCACATTGTCTCTTTGGCAGAAATCTATTTGTCTCTTTGGCAGAAATCCATTTTGATCAGTATGAAAAAAATTATTTAAGTATCTTTTTAGTCTTTCTGCCAAAATTGAAGCAAAAATTTTATAGTCTGAGTTCAGTAAAGATATAGGTCTATAATTTTTAACCTGCTGTAGGAAAACCAGACAGTTATAGTGGTGCAAGTGACAGACTCAATAATTCCTCTGTAAAACTGCATCAGCAGCTCCTTGGGCAGTTTGCGTTCATTTCTTTCCATTTGTTTCCTAGGAGCCTCTATTTGGGAATATGCTTTCTTTCTTTCATGCTTGCTTGCATTGCCTGGCAAGCAAATATTTTCTTTGAACTCTTTATGGCTCCTTTCAAGAGAATGATAGCTTGTAAATATCCCTTTCTTCTTCTTCTTCTTCTTCTTCTTCTTCTCCTCCTCCTCCTCCTC